AAATACTTTAAAAAAAAAATCCATGTCATTCTGCAGAAATCAAAGTTCTGTAAGAGTCAAAAAACTTCTGTATGTTTTGGTCCAGGTGTGGAGCAAAAACTGAATTGTACCTGGATGTGTCTTTTACAAAAAAATATTTGCACACACAATCAACTGTAATATCCGGTTGAAAAAGTGAAAACCTTGAGCTTGTTTAACCAATTGTTATAATTTTGTTACCCCCTTTTAAAAGGTATATAGGAGGATTTTCTACTTCTGGGTGGATCATCAAGACTATTGGTCCTCCCAATTGTCAATCATTCTGGTGACATATGTGCCCGTCAAATAAGACCAAAGAGTTTAGTTCGAAAAGTGGGGAGGGCGGTTCTTTTCTAAAATTTGGAAAAAATCTTTAAGCTTTAACATCACCGAGTATTTGTCAAGGCACAGCCCAGTGATAGTTTTTTGTAACTGCCTTTTCTTCTGTGTTCAGAGCCAAATGAAGAATTGTACATACTCAAAAACCATTAAATATGTGGATTAAGTTAATCGGTGAACTCGTTACAGCCCTAGTTCTGGGTTATGAGTCGGTAAAACTGCACAGACCTCTCCTCTGTTCTATTTCTGAGAGAAGGGGACGTCAAAACGATAGCCCCCGATGAAAGAGGAGAGAAAACAATGACATCACTTCTTAGATCTCGCTCTGACACCGACTTTTGCACGGAACAACGTCTTGAGACTGAATTGCCCGACACTGCGGCGCCAGAGCCCAGTATGACTGTATCTGTATGCTCTCCGGACACCTGTCTCTCCGTCTCTCCTGTACTTCCTTGGCTCCCGCGGCCTCCTGCGGGCCGTGGCGGGGGGCGGGGGGAGGGAGATTTTGCAGTAGCAGTAGTTCATATGTAGTATTCCTTGATGCTGTCTCTCATGGCGTGGTGCAGGTGGAGCTCTGTCCTGAAGGCCGGCTCCTCGCTGCTCCTCTGCTGCTGCTGCTGCTTGTCCTTGTGGTGACCGGGCTCTCCTCTCTGGCTCTGTCTCCGGTACAGCAGCCTGGTCACCACGGCGAGCACGCACACGGTGATGAAGGACACGGCCGTCACCACTCCTGCCACGGGATCACACACATCGGATCAGTGACGTCAAGGTAAGATATAAGATTAACCTGATTAAGTGCTTTTTACAGCAGAGTAGAATGAAACTCAAGAGCACTCAGGTTATGCAGACATCAATAATCAACCGTTTTGGAATAGATTTTACTTTGGTGTTTGGGAAAAGGCAATTCAGTTCAATTCAATGTATTGTTGTATGGCCCTGAATCACAACAGTAGTTATCGCTGAGGACTTTATAAAGATGTCTATTCTCCAAAACAAATCCGAGAATCACACAGTTCAAATAAAAGAAATGCAATGATAAAAAACACATAGAGACCATGGTCCATAAATGTCCATAAATGTCACTGAATGTCGGGTGTCCTGGATCATGACCACTGCCCTTAGACCCTCCTGAAAGCAAGGAAAACACGAAAAACCCAGTGCGGAAAAAAGAGAAACCTCGGGGAGGATATTAAAGAGAGGGATCCGCTCCCAGGGACGGGCTATAGATCCAGGACACAGTCTGTAGAACGAGGACCGAGGTGCGATGCCGGACTGAGGCGGCTCTCAGGCGGGGAGGGGGTACAGCTTTTATTGTGCAGGAGAAATAAGGGAAATGAGATCTGATCTTTGGAAATTGTATTAGATCCTTGGAAATTGAGATTGGATCCAGTATGGAGGATTTGTTTTGTATTGTGTCCTATGCCTTTTGTGTATTTTTAATATAGCAGGACAAAGACATATTTCCTCTGGGACATAATCAATAAATCTTGAATTGGAACCATGGTTTTAAAAAGATATAATTTTTTTTGTAAAGCCTTTAATAACAACAGTAGTCGTATTGGAGGACTTTACAAACACAGGAAATGCAATAAGAACAAACACTAAGGGGCCATTGGTGCATTTGGGGCGAGCTGACCGCTGTCCGAAAAATAGATAAAAATTTGAAATCTGATTCCCAATTTTTAAAGATAAAATCTGATCAGAAAAATCTGAAATCTGCTCCAATTTCCCGATCGAAAAATCTGCCTGTATTCACAAATCGGGAGAAAAAAATGAAACAAACGTGGGCGTGACGGACAAAATGTGGAAAAAATCATGGAGACCATACTAATTCTGACAAATCTTTGTTGAGTCCAGTCGGTGGTGCTGTCCTGGTGATGTCAGCGTGAACAGTGAGGCTGACGACTCGTGAGCGCCGTGTCATCGCTGAGACATCATACGTGTTGATTTATGAAAAGTGTGAGTCTGATTCATCAGGTTCAGTCTGACACGTTCATAAGAGGCGCTCATTAAGGCAGAGAGAGAGAGGAAGGGGGGGAGAGAGAGGGAGAGAGGGAGAGAGAGGGGGAGAGAGATGGGGAGAGAGAGAGAGAGCAGGAGAGAGAGAGAGCGAGAGAGGGAGAGGGGGAGAGAGAGAAGGAGAGCAGGAGAGAGCAATAGAGGGGAGGAGAGGGAGCAGGAGAGAGAGAGAGAGAGAGAGGGAGCGAGAGAGAGGGAGAGAGGGAAAGAGAGAGACAGTGAGAGAAAGAGCAAAAGAGAGAGTGAGAGAGAGCGTGAGAGAAAGAGAGAGACTAAAAGAACCCTACAGAACTTACTGTTCTCAGGTTAAATCACACAAAGGCAGATTTGGGTCGTGTCTTTGAAGTTTAAAAAAAGTAGATAGAGTAAATGTCCACAGACCTGCTATTAGTGCCACGTCGCTCTGAGAGTCCCTCTGGTCCGTGTCCTGACTCGACGTGGACGTCTGGTCTGTAAATTATAAATGATATATTAATAGAGGGTGCCAAATATCACTGGTCATTCCACAAACCACGTATATCCTCTCCACAAAAGGGAAATGGAATCAATGTGACATCACTTAAAGCTGGAGTACCACTGTTTTCATCAAAGATCAGGTTTTCTTTGTTTCAACATAAAAGGTTTTGCAAAACGAATTAATCTTCCAAGAAAACATGTTTTTTCCATACTTGTAAGAGCCCTGTGAGTCATTATTTGAATATTTGAGCTGAGAGTTGATTGGCTGACTGAGAGCTGATCTAAACATGTGACAGAGGTCAACACACATGCACGGGAAACTAGTGATAGAAGCAAAACGTTTTAATGCATTTGATGATTTTTTTTTTGTACACAGTTCCATTGTTGTGGCTTGAAATGTAGGTACCATGGACGTCGGAACTATTTTCTGAGAGGGGGGGCGGGTTTTTGTTGGGAGAGTCGAGGGAGAGACTCATACTTGGATTGCACTGGATAATAACATACCATCTTAATTGTTAAGAAAAACAAAATAAACAATATATATCAAGCAAGTCACTTATCAAACTGAACTTTTTTTTTTTTTCAATACGCATTCATGCGTCAGTCTCTCCGGTGGCTTCGTTGTGTTGTGTAGCCCAGTGACGTGCGGTCAGATGAGGCAGGCAAGGCCCTCACCTAAGATCATAAAGAAAAGTAATAAAATGGATACAATAATGTTTGGTCACTTTATCAAGTGATTTGTGCTGTGCCTTATTTCATTTATTTATACCTTGAAATCGCAGATTTGACAGAGCGCTGCTGTGAGGCAAGCCTCTCTTGGGAGACGTAAAAAGCAACAGCTCACAGGGAGAGTCCTGTGAGGTGCTATCAAACTGTTTTCTCTGTTTATCACAGTTTACAAAGTTCAAAAGTATTTAATTTACAATCAACATGTTTACATTTAAGAGGATGGCTCATAAATTGTGTTTTTGAAGCAAATATGGGTCTTAATCGCGCTCAACCACAGCTTGTAAGTGAGGAAAGCCTCAAGGGGGCGCTTGTGAGCCCAAACTTTGGCTGCATCCAATTCCATCAGAAAGCTCCTTTCTTGTTCTTCTTCTGCTATAAGGGCAGCTACAGGTTTGGCTAACATACCTATAATACATTTTAAGATAATTTAAAATGCACTTAGAGTAATGTTTTGCTTCCAATGATGATATGAATCATAAGAAAAGGAGGTGAAGGGTAAGGTTGAATTTAGAAATTGGATTTACCCGGGAGTCGGCTGCAGCAAAACTCGGAGTTTACGGAGGAGACACCCGTTTTTTTTACTTTTTAAAACTCATTAAACTTATTTCCAAATGGAGGATTACATGTCTGTGCTCAAAACTATTATCTGGACTTAAACATGAAACTGGTCCTAACTGAAGTGGTCTGTGCTGTTCATTAATACCTAAGGTAAGGCCCATAACACACTTTGTACTTTTTACAAACGTTTGCGTTTTGTATGAGAAAACAATGCAGACATTAAATCATATTCTGCTGTAGCCAAACAAATTGTGTATAAGCCGCTCCTGTTCCTGTAGGTCCTGTTGGTTTATATGATGTATAATCATATGAACACATGATTGATCCCCCACCGCACGTCACTGGTGTATGGTCTCTAATCTGCGCAAGGCTGAGAAAGAGCGCTCAGAGGCTGCGACAGATATTAGCCAGACAGAGCTTCATAAGCTTCTCCGACAGCATGGAGCGGGTTTTGGGCTGCAAGGAACGCAGGATAGTGATAACTTCTCGCTCCCGGCACACGCGGAGGGGGTGCGGCCGCACCCCCCGCACCCCTAGTTCCGACGTCTATGGTAGGTACCCCGGCTTTAACTTACAGAACACATAGATGAGAAAGTGAAAGGCTTCTGTGACATTTCTACACAACATGATATAACAAGTTGTTCCTAAAAGACAAAATGCTAAAATATAGCCTCGATAATTCTGCTTTTTGTTCTGTTAAATTGTGCTGTAAAGGTTTTTGGAACATTTATTGAGGGCTTGGATAAAATAAAGCCATTCGAGTACATGAAAAATGATAATATCAGGGGCAGTATGCAATATTTTCATTCTAAATTCCATCTACATCTGTTATGCGTGTCCCCAGATACAGGTCACATGCTCAAATCATATATGACCTATTAAAATGTTATTCTCACCAACTACCATAGACATAATGTTCATAATATACGTTTATGGTTTAAAGCTGATTATTCAGAAAGCAGAAAGAGGCTCTCATTTGGGTTGCCAGATTGTTAGCTGAGATGTAGCTGGGTATGTAACAAAATAGCACCACACATTTGTTAAAGTGAAAGCTGAAACAGAAATGTCATATGTAAAACACGTTCAAACCCCAGCAGGTGGATTGAACGAGTAAATCTAAGTGTATCGCTGGAAGGTTAGATTCTGGAAACATGAATTGGATTGTATTTTGTGATGCCTTTATTAGACCACAGTGCACGCTACATTCGCTCTCTAGATGGAGACCGCCTACTCCGAATGACAAGCGCTGCGTTTGTAGACAACAGTGAGGCTTCCACACTGCAAAAAATGATTAAATGTTACGTAATAGTGGCTTAAATCCATTGTTTTTTTAATCATAATTAGAGTACATTCTGACATGAAACAAGATTTGCCAATAGGACTTATTTCAAAAACTGTTGCGATATTTTCTGATTCCAACAGAGATATTTCTAAACAAGATCATTAAGGCAGTAAAAATGTGCACATACGTATGAAGATGCATTTTTGCCAAATTTGAGCAATTTTTGACTTATTTTTCATCACTTTTTGCAGTGCAGAGCTGGAGCCTCCAGACTGCGGCTCTTACCCAGCAGGTTGTTGGAGGAGATGGTATCGGCCAGGGCCCCACAGTTGGACTGCACCACGGGGCCCCTGATGGTGACCAGGGAGCTGCCCCGGTTCAAGAGCGCGGCCTTCAGGGGGGCGACATGGTTGAACTGGACCGAGGAGAGGCAGCCCACAAAGCCCCGCGCCCCGGCCTGGACCACCTCCTCTGGGAAGCCCTCTGTCCCTGGAACACACACACAACAGGACATGAGAGGCGGAGGATAACAAGCGTTTACATCCAGCACAAAAGCCAGCTTTAGCGTTTGTTTTCATACTGTAGAGCCGTGTTTTATCACCCGCGTGGAAATGCGGTGTCAACGGGTGGCAACAGGGGGAAAGGTTGCCGTGTTGTTTGGACCCATGAAAGACAGGATTATGTACAAGGCTCAAAAGACAGGAAAAGGGTCCAAAGAAACTTCAGACTTTTGAAATAAGTCTAAAGCAAAGTGCTCCCTGGAATGAGGGTGTGCTAAAAAATATTGTATTGATTTTAATTTAGGTTTTTTCAGATTTTTTGGATTAAAGGTGCAGCTAGCGATTTTATTAGCTAAGCCTTAGCACCAACTGGAAACCACTCCCCCCTCCCCTCGCCTCTCCACCAAACCAAACATCCAGCATTATATTTACTTTGTCACAACAGGAAGAGAGGGTGGCAAACGTGAAATTGGCCTTTTCTGTTCAGACCTTTTAGGTTTAAAAAAATCCAACAACTCAGGTGGGCGCACTTGCGAGAAACAGGAAGAGGGTGAAGGGAGAACGCATTTTATTGGTTCATTGGGGATGAACGAATCCAATTGGTTTATTTTTATTGGTCCACTCAGAATTTTTTTTAAATTAATATTTGGAGACTATACTTGGGTTTCATTGAACTGGCCTGTAGGGGGCGAATGAGCAGAGGTGGGACAACACAGTTTTGCTCCCATTGAAAACCATATAAATCGTGTCTGTTTTGGAGTCAAAAGGCTCTTATCCTGTGCGGTGTACTGTACGGTTGTTGTAACAGTCTTAATCGTGAGGGGGACACTCAATTCTAAGGGAGTGCTAAGATATTTCTGCGTTTCATTTGGGTGGCCTGCAGGGGGCGCTTATCTGGGAAAGCCTTGATCACCTTGATCGAGTGATTTTTTCAAAGTGTTATATAAAGTTTATATGAAACCACAGTTGGAACACGGAAGAAACTCTTGTCTTTCTATTTTCGCGGTTGCTACAAGCGTACACCGCACAAAAAGATGGCATTTTGACACCGCTTCTTCTTCTACTATATCTACGTGTATAAACCCGGCAGACTGCACCACCAGGATACATCACGTCCTGTCCCACGTTTGTTATTCGTGCCACTGCTCTGACGTCATATGAAACCCAAGAATAGGCATCTGGTCAATTGGTTTAGGAACGTTTTCCCACAATATTTAAAAAAAATATATCTGGAAAAAAATCACTGACTGCATCTTTAATATTAATATCTATATTGATATTTGGAATATTTGACAAATATATTAAATTCATTAAAATACAGATGCAACATTAATATTTGCTTGTATCACTAATGGCGTTTGTATTCTCATTTTATTTTATTTTTTTTAACCCAGATTAAGATTAAGAGTAAGAGAGATTGAATAGAGATCGATTAAGAGAGATCAAAACAGGCTATAAAACAGGTTAGTCTGTCTAAATTACAGCTAGAATTGGTCTGATTGTTCACACGGAACACGCCTCGACAGCAAGACTACCTCACAAGGCGGGTTTAATGTCGGGTTAAATGTCGGGTTGTTCTGACACGCCAGCCTGTGTCTCTCAGTTGGTACAAAAGAGGCAACAGCCGGTTTTTGGACGAGCCTTTTAGATATGTTGCAATCCTGGCTCGTCATGGAGTATCGCACGATTGGAATTGCAAATACAAAATTATGTAAAATTATACAAAAGTTCAGAAATTGATTTTTAAAATAAAACTTACTCATGACTTTGCCCAGTGTCAGCGAGCGGATCAGCACCAGCTCCGAGTCAGAGGACAGCCGGTACTTCCTGTGCACGTCCTGGTCCAACTGTACACACACACACGCACGCACACACACGCACACACACACAAACGTGTATAAGTGAGTGGGCTGCAGAGAGGATACATAGGACCAAACCACAGCTCAGTGAGGAGATGAGTGTTTCCTGTGGGCAGACTGAGGGCTGTGGAGGAGGGCGGCTCAACAGTCAACTCCTGCTGGAATAGTGTCATATCCGATTAAACAAAGGATATAATTATCGATCTTTGAGCTGAACTGAGTCAGATCAGAATGGAAATCCTAAACTGTCAACTATTTATTCATTTTATCTTCAAATCACCACAAATATGCAGTAGTAGTTTATGTCTTCTGTCATTATGTACATTAGATTACTACGTTTTCAAAGATTGCATACATTTTACACACACAAAAAACCTAAATATTCAAGTGTATTCATAATTTTTATAATTTTAGTATACAACATACATTTCACATGTTCTCTGCAGATCTTTGTGAGACTTGTGAAAAATGTATTGCAAAGGTCCAAACGAGTTGAAATGAGGTCCAACATTGCATAAACAAACAGCATCAAAGCTAGAGCGACAAAAGGTCTAAATCTCTTAAAAGTGAAGGACATTGATTGTTTGTGATTCTCTAAATACTGGACTGGCTAATATGGATCTTTTATAACACCTTAGAAGCGACTGTGGTACAAGCTGAACTCAATATTAGGACAGTATGCACAGACTGGTGATTTTCCACTTTATGTTTTCATTTTCTGAAGGTCAAACTAACATAACCGCGCTCTCACACATCGACCACACATACAAGGAGCGTCTATTATGCTTCGGGTATAAAATCCCTTGCATGCTGAAAATCTTTGGTCATGTCTCTTTGCAGCTTAAAAAATAAGAAATGTCTTCTGTGCCTTTACGACCCCAGACTCCTCCGCAACAACTGATACAACTAAACTAAATGCTGATGGTATCGTTTACCCTCCAGACTATTTTATACTGTTATTTCACATTCTAAAATATGGAATGATGAAGCAAAAACGTCTATTTAATTTCAACGGACAAAAATAATGCATCTTATTATATGACTTGGACCGTACGCGCACTCTGAATGGCTGTTTACCGGTTTAATATTTTCCCATCTCGGACCGCTACCATGACAATTGGTCCGAACAGCGCGTATCACATTTCATATCTTTCCTCGGACCGTTACCATGACAATCAGTCCGCAGCGCGTATCACACTAAAAACACGATAAGGAAAACCAAGTCTGACATGAAAATACTTCACAAATATCTCAAAAGCATTGGTAAAGACACAGACGAGAGTCATATAATAAAACATTTATTAACCTCGCTTGCTCGGTCTGTACAGAGAAATATCAGACCTTGGCCTTAATGTACAGACCTCGCCACGGCTCGGTCTGTACATTAAGGCCACGGTCTGATATTTCTCCATACAGACCTCGCGCTCTGTTAATAAGCTGTTAATATTTCTTCTTCAAGCCTGAGCAGACATGACATTTTGACAGTGTGTGTGCCTGCTTGCTTTCATTGCTCCAGCAGTAGCAGTAGCAGCAGTAGAGTAGCAATAGTAGGAGTAATAGTAGTAGCAGTAGCAGTAGCATTAACAGCAGCAGTAAGAGCAGTAGCAGTAACAGTAGAAGCAGCAGTAGCAGCAGCAGCAGTAGTACCAGTAGCAGTAATAGTAGTAGCACTAGCAGTGACAGTAGCAGTAGTAGTTGTAGTAGTAGTAATAGTAGGAACAATAGTAGTAGCAGTAGCAGTGACAGTAGCAGTAGTAGTTGTAGTAGTAGTAATAGTAGGAACAATAGTAGTAGCAGTAGCAGCAGCATTAACAGCAGCAGTAAATGTAGGAGCAACAGTAACAGTTGCAGCAGCAACAGCTGCACCAGCAGCAGTAACATTAACAGTAGCAGTAACAGCAGCAGTAGCAGTATTAGCAGTAGCAGCAGTAGCAGCAGCAGCAGCAGTAACATTAAGCGGTAACAGCAATAGCAGCAGTAGAAGCAGTAGCTTTCTGGGTGGAGTTTGCATGTTCTCCCCGTGTCTGCGTAGGTTTCCTCCGGGTACTCCGGTTTCCCCTACCACTAAAAATATGTACAATAGGTCTGGCATGCGCCTCCTGTACTGGTGACCCCGCTCCCATCTCTGTGTGGCGTGAGAGACAAGTGCCCAAAAATAACAATTGTAAACCGCTTTGTGGCTCTGGTGTGTGAAAGGCGGTATATAAATAAACATTACTTACTTACTTACTTAGCAGTAGCAGTAACATTAGCGGTAGCAGTAACATTAAGCGGTAACAGTAGTAGCAGCAGCAGAAGCAGTAGCAGCAGCAGTAGTAGTAGTAGTAGCAGTAGCAGCAGTAGTAGGGGATCCTGACCTGTACGTAGAGGTCCAGTCCCTCGCGGTGCAGCCGTATCCGGTGCAGTCGGCCGTCGGCCAGAGAGCGCAGCACTGGACTGAAAACGTCTGGGGCTCTGTCGCTCTGCAGCTGGTACCAGATCTGCAGGCTGCCTGTGGGACCAACACAGGAGCTCGGATCAGTCCGGAACCAGAACGCCGCGTGAAACAGGTTACAACGGATGCATTCAATTAGTCTGTTTATTAGCCTGTTATAACCAGGATAGAGAAAAGTGAAAACAAAAGAAAGATTTCATTGATTTCTGGATCTGCTATGAGCCTCTCACTTTATACGTTACGTTAAAAATAATCACATCAAAGTGGGGACACAGGACACGGCAGCGAGCAGCTTTCATTTGTGCCAGAACGCCTGAACAACATTGTCGCATCATATGTGTATCGCAGATTGAGACAAAAAAAAAGTAGAGAGAATGTATGACATAAAGATTTAAAAGGAGGATTTTCCCACATTTTAGGAAAGAATCGTCCTCTCCACTTTTTGAACAAAACTCTCGGGTCTTTTTTGACGAGCGCGTATCACCAGAATGATTGACAATTGGGAGGATCAATAGTCTTGATGATCCACCCGGAAGTAAAGAGGGTAAATATTATGAGGAAGAAATGCAACAAGACACATGCTTAAAACGCTGTAGACAATGTTTAACAGGTAAAATCTCTATGACAAATTTCAAACGCTTATTCATTTTTATCTTAGCTGTCAAACTGAACAAAAACAGAATTATGTAGTAAATCCATCTAGCAACTTCCTCGCACCCAAAACAGTTTGTTTCTATCACAAAATTTCACGTACACATATCTACTGGCATTTTTTGGGCCTATCTTGAGATCAACTTTTCCAGACAGAGGACCAGCCTCACGGCCAATCAGCTCTCAGCCCAAAGTTTCCAAAATAGTGCTTTTTGACATACGCAACAGACATAAGACAGAATATTGTCGGCAAATTTGTTCACTGATTTTACTTTACAAAGACTCTTTCTGTAGGGACAAACCAAATGAAATATTATAGGGGAAAATAGTTGGAAAAAACAATCAATAACAATCAATATTTATGTATGCAATTTATTGTCTCTATGAAGCTGTGTTAAAACTTTATTCTAAGGCACATTACAGGCAAAGCAAAAAACATAATCTTCCTCAAAATCCTAATATCCTAGGTCTATATCTCTGTGCAGACTTTGGCATTTCCGGACGACTCCATGTTTGCTATTAAAACTATACACAGCCTATATACAAACTCCTCCGCTGTCTCTCATCTTCCTTCAGTCCTGTATAGTTTTAAGTCTCAGACGCAGATTTCTTGTGTCTATTTGACTATTATTGATGCTCTCTCAGCCTGGGCGGCGTGTTCAGCCCGGGGACTCTCCAAAAATCTGGCTTAAGCGGGGCGCAGGGACCATCTGTACGTCCCATAATACTTCTCTTTCATCCTGAGAAGCGCTCTCCCCCGCTCCGTACCAGTGGGAGGCGTCAAACTCGGAAAATGTCTTCGCAATAATCAATGGGATGAGACATGGAGCTTATAGGAGTTTTGAAATGGCCGCTGGCTACACTTGGAAACGTTTATGTACAAGCGAAAATAGTTATATGGATTAGAACCAAGACATTGAGCAGACAGCTACTGTTTAAGCCTCTTGTTACTGCTGTGTATATGTAAATACATCGGGGATAATAAACTTATCTTTCCCAAGGGCTGACATTTTGTGGATCTCCATGTGCTCTGGGATGGATAATCCTCCAACACATCACCACTTTGAATATTTATATATAATATCAAACACAGTTCAGGTACAATTTATGTCTTTGTGGGACATACAATTCAAACCAGTTCAACTGTTTATTATCAAGGACTTAGGTAAACAACCAGGACTTAGCCCAATTTAAAACAGACTTACTTCTACAATTTTCAAACGCAAAATGTTATACTGCCAATGGGATAAGCAACACAGTTCAAGATGGTTTGCCTGTGTGCAACTAAGTGGGATTTTAGTTCTACTCTTTTTAATGCGCTGTGGTTATTCATTATTTTAAATCACTTGTGCGATATGAATATTTTAATTACCTGTGTGATTTTAATAGTTTTGTTTTTAATGTCCTGTGTGACTTTATGATTTATGTGACGATCTATGCCTTATGTGATTTGGGCTGTGAGCGCTTTGTGTAACCCTGTGTAGAAAAAGCGCTCTGATTGAATGAAAAGTGTCTCATTATTTAATTCCATTTTGGGAAACATTTGGGAACCCATGTTATAGAGGACACCCTTGGTCATTCAGGATGTCAGGTCCTCTTTGACCTGACATCATATCGTAGGTTCGTACTTGTGACTTCATCTCATCATTGAATGGTTTATTTGCACATACAACTTAGGTCTCCCGTGGTTACCGTTGCGTGCCAGGATGACAGCGATGTACTGCTGGCTGAAGGTGCAGACGCTGAGAAGCATGGCGGGACTGTGCGAGGTGACGAAGCTGAAGGCCATGTCCTCTCTGGCCCTGCTGCCCTCGCGCTCCCGCTCCCTCCACACGCTGGCCTGCGAGCTGCGATTCTGCATCACCGAGAACGGCTCCTGGAAGGTGAACGTGACCGAAGACTCGCGCTCGAAGGACACAGACACTTCTGCGCAGGGACAAAGTTGACAAGAGAGAGGTGGGATGTGAAATTGTTAAAAAGACATGGTGTATATGTTTGATATATACTGACATCTGTGGATTATTATCATCATGAAAACATTTCTCTCAACAAGACAGCAATGATGAGAGCAACTCTTAAAGCTGTGGTACCTCATTTTCAAACTACAAAAACCTGGAAATACAACCAAATCCACCAAACTTCATCCCAATCTCTCAACAGTTCTTTCTCGTTTAAAACATGCATGTGCAGGTGAAACTCTAACAATTAGAATATCGTTCATACGTCCTTCTATTTCCGTAATTCTATAGATCCATTTCTTCCACTTTATTAGTTGCCGGGTTGTGGGGGCAGCAGTCTAAACAGAGACAACCAGACTTCTCTCTCCACACACTTCCTCCAGCTCATCCGGGGTACCTTGAGGTGTTTCCAGGCCATCTGAGAGACAAGTCCCTCCAACGTGTCCTGGGTCTTCCTTTATACTTTGTGTATATAATATTTATAATTTTGAATTATGTAAATGTAACTCAAGGTTATTTATGTTTTATTTTTATTTATTTTTGATATCCTGCTTTTGTCTATTGGACACATATTTGCTCGAAATAAACATGGCTAATAATAAAAAAATAAAAAAATAAAAAATAGACTCATTACATGCATTGTTTTTACAAGCCGTGAGCCAATAATCAACATTATAACAAATAAAAGGCTTGATCCATAGTGGTCTGTATCAAAAATGTGTTCCCATCACATCCCATCGTATGTTGAATCACAGACGTCAATGGACTTTAGAACATTATTCTAAGATTAGATTAGATTAAGATTAAGATTAAGGCCCTGTTTAGACAGAGACGCTGCGGAGTCGCTGCAAAGCAATTAGCAAAAATGACCAGGCTCCTTATTTAAGTGCAGTCTACATGACGACGGAAAACAATGTAGTTTTAGCGCCTGGCCAGTAGTGGGCAGTGTAATGTTACAGTGTGACCCCCAGCAGTAGAACCACTTCCTCAACAACATCCTCCCCAGGCCATGGGAAATAATGCACTAACATCATTCTGCATTTAACAGTAGCAGCGAAAATGGAAACTGAAACTAGAGCTGTGGTTTCGCTTGGACAAAGGAGAAGCACACGTAGCTAGTTAGTGTACCCGCTGCCATTGTTGTTTACGTTTGTTCTCGTCTACTGCGCATGTCCTAATGTACACTTTTCTTCACACAGCTGTGAAACAGACCCCCAGTGAGCAGTGTATCTGTTCTGTTCCACTCTAGAGGCTGTTTCTAAGAAGGCCAAACCGATACCCAGCTCTGCCGTTTTACTCTTGCAGCCTCTTGGTCTAAACAGGGCCTATGAAATCCTGTATATGTCTCACAGTGGTGAAATTTCAGTGATGTATTACAAGTTACAGAACAGTAGGAATGAGGAGCACACAGCACAAGATACATGAATAAAAACTCTATTCCAAAAAAATCTCCAACTTTAGAATGACGAAGAAGCACTTCTCTCTCAAGAAAAAATTATTGGAGCAGTACTTCAAGCTCTGGTACTTGACTAAAAAGGGGAAATTACATTCCATCCAATTAGCACATAGCTCTAAACAGTTCTACCACTAGTTTTAACATAATGCATGTTTGGTTGCTGTCACATCTTTAGATCAGCTTTTTCAAACAGAAAAGTGAGAATGAGAGGACCACACCGCTCTCACTCCAAAGAGTCAAATAGTGACTCACAGGGTTCTTTCTTACAAGTATGCAATTGATAACATGTTTTCGATAAAGAAGATGGTATGTTGTGATCTGATTTGTTCACAACACTCTTTCCCAGTTTTAGATGACAAACTGCCATTTCGATCATTTACTGTTTATGATCAGACAGATGCGTTCTAAATCTTAATATACCCAAATTAAATGGCCTGAACCATGGCAGGACCATAGGAGGAGAGTTTTAATTGTTTACAATTAGACCCAAGTTGCCAATGATTATAAGTATTATTGCTGATTAATATTGCTATGTTAGAAGAAGAAGAAGAAGGTCCTTTGTTAGTCCCACAATGGGGAAATTTCAGTTTAATGCATACACAAACACATATGTACATCAAGGCAAGCAGCTTTCTGTGTATTTGTTTTGTGTAGTAGTCTTGTTACCCCTTTAATCGGGTCCCTTGTGTGTCTTGTGTTGGGTTGCTTTTGTCATTTTCAGTTGTTCATTTGATTTTTTGATTTTGGGCTCATTTATTTGCATTTTTGACATAATTTTTGGCTGATTAAAAACCTTAAGTATTCAAATTGTTTTGTGTGTTTCCTGCCGCACATTCGCTCCCGCACATAAACCAAACCCTAACCTGTATGTCCAGTTCAGTCCACCTCTTTGCAGCCGCTGCTTATTTCTGCACACAGTATATATACTGTACATGCAGCCAGTATACATAAACTGTGACCTATCTGACTTTGCAAAGAAATAGCACATTTGGAAATTGGTCCCTTCCTAATCTGTGGAGTGAGTAAGTGAGTGAGCCTGGATGCAGATGGACAGATGCAGAGAGAGGGTCCCCTGCAGAGCTGTGATTTATGAGTCATGGGGCGCACTATAGGACAGGGCTTATTTTTAATCCGCTCATTTATCTGTCACTAGTCCGCCCTGTAGGACCCTTCATGGACTGTACCTGCAGGCACGTGTCGCAGCCTCGCGCTCACAACAGCAGGGAGGGCCATTTATTATTCACGTCACTTTAATTATGTCGCACCTAAAGTGTTTGTGCTATTGTTTGCTGTTTGGACGGCCGCGTAAAGCACGGGTTTGACATTAAAAGTTATTTGTCACCGGGAGCTTCAAGAACAAAACACTACCGGGAAAACGTGCTTTCATTTTGGCTGTCGATCAAAACATGCATTTGCAAAAACAATGTGAGCAGTAAACTAAATGCTGTGGAAGCAGAGAAAGATGTATGTAGTTTTTAAGGCCAAGACCAAGTTTCAAAAGACATCCCAAATATATAGTGATCAATCATATTATTTTTACATTTGAATGCAGAAATTCAGACATGGTTTTCTGCCACACTGAGCCCTCCCCCTACTGCGCACATTGCCTAAACTTATCAGCCTCAGCTTCAGCCACACCTGTGCTAATCAGAATCACTTCACAGCTACATTTTCAGCTTGCTGTTCGTGCAGCAACCCTCCTCCTCCCCATCACCACCTCTCCTGTGCAGAATCATCATGTTATTGGCTCAGCTTCCTTCTCCACCAGGGTCTGGACCCGGGGGGGTTGCAATATCATAATATCGCCAAATTTGAAAGAACATTTAATGTTAAAATGCAATAAATATATTAGTACCTCATAATGCGTCAGCCAGGTCTAAATATCTCATCATGCAGCTAGAATATATTCATTGAAACATATACATATAATTCCTAATGCAATATTTGTCTCGATTTTTTCAAGATTGAAATAAAATATTCAGCAATTGATAATCAGTGCTGCTATCTCTGCTTTGTATGGGGATTTATAAGTGATGCTTTTCAAGACTTTCCTCCAGACAAATGTGGGATTGAGTGAGCAATGTGGGGAGAGCAAGGAGAGAGGAAGCAAAGGGAAATCAAATGTGCAGCCTCTTTATTTTTTGGTGATGATCACTACCATAAACATTATTCATTTTCTTTGGTCAAGGCCAAACAGGGCCAGTGGATAATCATCCCTTTGCACTATTGCAAAAACTGATGCAATATCAATTCTCTCCTCAAATTCACAATGGGCTCTTACTTTCAAAAACAACATAGTCTGTGTTTCACATACAGCACCACACGACAAAATCTTTCCAGACGTTGCCAGGGAGGTTCCATTCGTCTACAGGTGTCAGAGAAATATGGCAAAAATTATGTTTTCCAAATAAATTAAATTCATTTCTAAATATGTGACAAAGGCTAAAAAAACATGTAAGTGCAAATTAATGGTAGAACCAAACTGATTTGAATGCGGGAAACTAGTTACTAATTACCTGGAACAATTTTTTGTGGTTTGAAAGTAAAGTACCCCAGCTTTAACTGTAACCAAGAGAGGTTTATATGACCATGGTGACACGTACAGGTAAGTAAAACCTGTACGTGTCACCTTGTGAAAGGAGTAATGCCTCTTTCACAATATCCCATGGTATTTTATTATAGAAGTTATTATATGCACACAAAAATAGAAAACAATAGATAAGATACAAGAATAATCAGCATTATATAGTTAGAAAATGGGTCGGACAACGCAGATTTGAATGGGATCCTTCTCACTACTACAACACAAAATACACACTCACATGCATAAAACACAGACCCCAAAATTCTCTGACGCTACACCTCTGTATTAACATTCATTCATACGCAGACGGGTGCTGACCTTCCTTGCAGCTGGGGCCTCCGTAAGCCGACTGGGAGCAGTCACAGGCGAAGCCGCTGCTCTTCTCAATGCACCGGCCACGGTTATGGCACAAGCTGCTGGAACCACTGCAGTAACCAGGGCAACCAGGGCTAACACCAGGGGCTAGCTTAGCACGCTCCTCCAGGTCTAAGGTCACACCGTTAATGACCAGAGTCCGGATGCATCCCAGGAAGCCCCTCTGCCTGGAGGACGTCCCACCTGGAGAAGAGAAGGAATGGACCAACACTTAGATTGGGACCAAGAACCTTTGAGTTTACAGCTATGTGGTTGAAAGTTTACGCAACCAGGCGAAATGTACATTTAAAAGATTAGACTTAATGAATCATCTTGTCTCTGAGCAGAAGTCTCAAACCCACAGTTCTCAGTAGCGTGTATTTTCCCTTTAACTTCTATGATGACGTGTCAAGTCTTTTGTGGTAGTTGTGGATGAGGTTCTTTCTCCAGAGTTTTGAGTTCAGGCCACCTTCCAGATGTTAACATTAAAACATGTTGTAGAAAATAGTTTCAAATAGTGACCGTATTGGATTGAGAAGGAATACATTAAATAAACACAGCAAATGATGAAATTAGTTTCTACCAAGAAACCCTCCTGGACAAATGACGCATCGATTTGTTTTTAACAATAACATATTCTATTACATTAATACCATCTAACCGTGAACTATGGGAGTGGATTAGTTGTGGAGAAGGGGTTATACCTTATTACGGAAGAAGCCAATTAGAGCTAACTTAAACAAGCTCCAAATTTGAGGGGAGCAACAACCTTGCAACTGAAGAGCCAATCGGGAGCAGCGCTGGTCTGGTTAAAGACCTTATGACGGGTTTGATTTATTTAGAAATTCAGTTTTAATACCATTTTATATTAGAAGAGAACTACTAAAGGTTTCAAAATCAGTTGTTGTTTTTTTTGTCTGATCCCCCCAAATCGAAATAACCCCATAGCAACGCCCTTAGAGACGAAAAAACTTCACAGCCCTTGGTGACGTCAGAACGGGTACGTTTCAACGCTGTAAGTTGTTTACAATTTGGTATTCGTTCTTTTTTCGCGGATATTCAAGATGACAAGGCCGTGTACAGCGAGTATGACATAAATACTAGATTGTAACTCTTTGCTGGTACTGAGATAGTCCAGTGGTTGTGTCGATGGACTACCAATCCAGAGACTGGAGTTCAAATACCACCTCAGACATTTTTTCACTCTCAAACGGCAATTTATGTGTAGTGCGCAATTGTCACCTGTAGAGTGCAGTATTGTGTTGGGCACCAGTGGAGAGAAGAGAGAAAAGGCAGTCCTGTGGCATAGATCCATGGTTTTCAATGCATGGGCGTAACCCGCTATGACGTCACACACAGGTTAGAGCATAGACAACTTAAATTCATGAAAAACACGTTCTTTTTATAAAATATAGGATTTTTTTTGCCGGAATCTCTTTCAGATTGACATTGTCATGCAATTTTGATATCCACAATTTTTTTTTTTTAAACCCGGCATAAGGTATTCTGTATGACTGATACACCTTACAATATTAATGCATCATGGGCACAAGCACTGAATGTTAATTGATGCATCTGACTTGAGTAATAAATACACACATTCCGTCCGATTATCTTATACTTCATGTGAATCTTATTGATCGCTAAAGATTATTACAGAGATTAGGATGGGGCCAATCATTGGTGGGTTTGTGTTCTTGATGTCTAAAGCAGTGCGTTATCTCCTCTCAGAACAGTTCATTTAGGCCTAAAACAAGTGGCAGAACCTGATAAGAACTCTTTTACATCAAAATTTATGATTGATCAAAACCTGGTGTTTATCTGTGGCTTGCACCTTACCCACAAAGAGCTGGCTGCTGAGCCGGAGCCGGGTGTGGCCATTGGGGGGCGCCTCCAGGAAGCGCAGGGGCAGCTGGTCCACCTGCAGCAAGGCCTCCTTCACGCTGCGCTCGGCTCGCACCTGGTGCCACTGCCGGTCATTCAGGGGCAGGTGTGACTTTACCGACAGCACCATGGGGCCGTTCCCAACGTCGAAGGAGAAGGTGACCACTGAGGGAGCTGCACACATGAGACACAGTGCCTCAGTCAAGGACAATCTTTAATACATGTTGATTGTGAAAACAAAATTTATTGAGAATAAGAAGTTGTTAATTGTGTTGTATTCTTGACTGGTATACATAGGTTTCCATTAATCAAAGTACCATGATCCTCAGTAGAGAGGCGCCATGTTGTGTGTCTGGCTGTCACACTAAACACACAGTATGGAATGACGTTGCTAATCCCATATCGTCATAAGCTAATGTGCACATGCATGACAATCCTGAAGAGTTTAGAGGAAGTGTTGCTGTTTGTCCATTTACCTGTGATAAAATATTTGGAATGGACTTTACATTGTTTTGTCTTTTTTTAGTTCAAGATTGAAGCTCTCTTTGTGTATTCTCCGCAGATATAGAATCAGACTCTCGGAAGAACGTTTTTCAGTCTCTGATGCTTATTTGGTAATATGTTAAAATATTGCTTCTTATTTGCTGTGTTGTGATCAGCGGTTTGTTCAATCCCCAAAAAACACAAATGCTTGACACGCTGACACATAATACAGCATCAATCGAATTAATCTGTTTCATGAAATAAAATTAAATTAAAGTTTAGATGTCACTCAGTTGTTGCGGATTTTGACATGACATGTGTTTTGACCCCTTGACCTAACATTTAAGAAAATACAGGGGTACATCTCATCAAGGCAAGGCAAGGCAAGGCATGTTTATTTGTATAGCACAATTCATACACAAGGCAACTCAAAGTGCTGAACAAGATAGCATTAAAATCATAAATAATCACAGAACATTAAAAAGAAAGATAAAAATATAAAATATAAAATCCCTCAGTTGTATGCACAGCTAAACAGCACAGTTTTTAACTTGGTTTTAAACATAGTCAGAGAGGAGGCCTGTCTCACATCTTCAGGAAGAATGTTCCAGATTTTAGCAGCATGAATCTGAAAAGCAGCCTCCCCATGTTTAGTTCTGACTCTGGGCACTAACAGGAGTCCAGTCCCTGTGCTCCTCAGAGTCCGGGCTGGTTCATATGGGACTAACATGTCACTAATATATTTTGGTGCGAGGCCATGGAGAGACTTGTACACAAGCAAAGCTGTTTTAAAGTCTATTCTCTGAGCCACAGGAAGCCAGTGCAGAGACCTGAGGACCGGACTAATATGGTCGTACTTCCTGGTTCTAGTCAGGACTCGAGCTGCTGCATTTTGAATGTACTGCAGCTGTTTTACAGCCTGTTTGGACAGACCTGTGAGCAGGCCATTGCAGTAGTCTAACCTACTGGAGACAAATGCATGGATAAGAATCTCCAAGTCTGCTTTAGACACTATGTTTTTGATCCTGGAAATGTTTTTTAGATGGTAAAAAGCTGCTGATGTTACTGATTTGATGTGGCTATTAAAATTTAAGTCTGAGTCCAGTATTACCCCTAGATTTCTGACCTTGTTTGAAGGTTTTAGGGAGAGAGACTGTAGATGACAGATGACGCTCTCTCTTTGTTTCTGGGGACCAAAGACAATCATTTCAGTTTGTCTGCGTTTAGCTGAAGGAAGTTGTTTTGCATCCACTCACTGATCTGTTGGATACAGTGAAGGAGTGAGTCCACTGGTCCATGTTCTCCTGCAGTCAGTGAGACATAGATCTGAGTGTCGTCTGCATAGTTATGATAGGAAACTTCGTTTCTGCGTATTAACTGACCTAACGGCAGCATGTAGAGATTGAAAAGAAGAGGTCCCAGGATCGACCCCTGTGGTACTCCACAGGTCATAAAGCATTATTCCCAAAAAGTTTCACCTTTTTCATCCACGTTCTGACAAAGATATTCAAACATATTCAAATAAGACAACTTTGATCTTGACACGCTGAAGTTTGAGTTCATTCAGAACTGACATAAAGCCACACATAGGCTTCTCTTCTTACAAGGGATTACAAAACACATAACCCAGCTGCCCAGTTTACACCGTTACCAAGGAAACAGGAATCCCATCTGCACTGATCGCCGCTGGACCACGCCACATCAGACCGGTCAGCAGGCGGCACAGTCCGATACGGATTTGAATTTGCAGCCAATGCAGTCAAACAGATGCACTGTTTGACTGCATTGGCTGCAAATTCAGACATTAAGTCTTACACACTAAAACAACCTGAGAAATGCATCACCCAGTCCATGCACTAATGAGATGTTCCCAAAATGGACCATCCACATAGTCATACAATATACCAGTCCTGTGTCCACTGAGCACATTCAAAGTGTTTGGTCTGACTCAGGACTAGAGCAGTGCACCAGTCCCCTGATAGCGGTGGGTGTAGTTGAGTGTACAGTCCTCTTCTGCGCCCCCAGTGCTGATGTAACATGATATAAGGCTGCAGAGGGAGCTGTCGGGCGAGCTGGATTTATGAGGCCTGCACTGACACTTGGTCGATATCTCCCCAGGTCCCACGGGCTGCGGCTAAACACTACAAAAGAGCAGATGAAACCAGCTCTGCTCTCAGATCTGTACGTCCGGAGTGAGACGTGAGACAAGATGTGCTATGTGCTTGGTTTATTAATTTGCTACTGTGTTTGTTTTTGAATAACACAAGGGAGCCAATTCATTATGTTAAGGTCTACATTTTCAATATTAATCTGAAAATGATTTAATAGAAGAAAAACAGTCCACTAACTTCCGCACTGAAAATGTATTTATTATTTGTGATTGTCGCTGCAAATTACAGCAGCTGCAAATCACCTAGTGCACTTGTATATTCTAAACTGTAGAAATGTATCCCTGCAGGCCTAACAAGACTCCCAGACCAGACATATTCATTCAGTGTGGGGAGGGAAAGGGCGACTTTCATAATAAGATTAGGCATGTTTATTTGTATAGCACAGGCAAACAGTTAAAACAGTCACACAAGGCATAAATAATCACTGTATGTTTAAAAGAGTAAAGAAAAAAATCCATCCGTTGTATGTAGAGTTGAACAGAACTGTTAAACTGGATTTGAACATTGTCAGTGAAAAAAAGCCTGTCTCACATTTTCAGGAAGACTGTTCAGGATTTAAGCTGCATGAATCTGAAATGCCACCTCCCCATGTTTAGTTCTGACTCTGGTTTAAGAGATTAATATTCATCCCATAGTGGAGAAAATTCAGTTTCAAGTTACAGAAGATAAGTGAACATTAAGTATCACACAACTTTATACGTTAAAGTAAGAATCCCCCAGGTACATTTTGAAGGACCAATTTCCCACGGTAAATTGCTCTAAAGATTCCGTTTTGCATAACACTCATCTGAAACTTGATGAAATGTAAGCCCTGTACTCACAGCTGAGCTCGATCCGGATAAAGTGGCTGACCCCCATGTTCTCGAGGAAGACCCCGCTGGTGCTGCTGGTCTTGAAGAAGAAGGAGACGTCCGTGGACAGCTCACTCTGCAGAGGAGGGAAGTGCAGGTACGACGAGTCCTGGTAGAACGACGCAGAGTTCCACAGCGACTCTGGGGACAAAGGGCCAAGGCCACACACTGAGAATCTGAGCACAACTAAAGCAGAACTAAACAACAACACGCTCTCCACACCTACAAACTGCCATCTTTGGCTACAGAGGATTTACTTGAGATGTCTTTGATTGGACGATAAGAACTGAATGAGTGTCAGATGACCCATATTACGGTTTTTGACTTTTCTCTGCTTTAAACATGATGACAGTGCTATTTGGCTTTCATACACATGCCCAGAGTCGTTTTTTCATTGATTCTGTCAAGCTTTAGTATGAGAGCGATCTGTCTCCTCCATCCTCGAGAGGCAGTGAAACGCTCGGGTCCACTTCAGTGACGATTACCACATCGATAACGAATATGCGCAGAAGCCCATTTTTATTTATTTAAAATGGTTCTAAATACTGTTGTCAAAACAGGGAAAAGAACGACAATACACAATAAGTATGCTGTCTGTTGTCAAAAATAATGAAAATTAAAGCCGCAAGCGGCGTCAAACGGCCCTCGCCGCACCACGCGCACCACCCCGCACCGCGCGCACCAACCCCGTACCAAGCCGCCCCGCATCAAGCCGCCCCGCATCAAGCCGCCCCGCATCAAGCCGCCCCGCATCAAGCCGCCCCGCATCAAGCCGCCCCGCATCAAGCCGCCCGCATCAAGCCGCCCGCATCAAGCCGCCCCGCATCAAGCCGCCCCGCATCAAGCCGCCCCGCACCAAGAAAGGTTTGAGCTGCATTTTTCAATATTACAAACATGTGATGGTCATGGCTTTTATTCTGGTGTGGTTTATACAGTGGTGGTCCGTTTATTTCAGACCTGCGCCTGCAGCGACCCCCCCCCCCCCCACACACACACACAGTGTGCCTCCTGTGTTAAAATGACAGGCAGTAGAGGGTTGAAAAACTAGAACAAGTTGTCGTGCTACACATATTAACATTTCTGTTTGTTTCTGTTCATCACATAAACGTGTCTGCACTTCTATAGTCTGCACCATAAACTATAAATGATGTCTCATGTATCCAATCAGAAGACATTAGTCAGACTTGTAACTGATTGGTTCGTTTTCATTGACTTTAAGGGCATGGTGACATACTGTAGGTTCTTACAAACAAACTGGCCCGGATTGTCGCCACAGGGGTGTGTTTTCACAAACGTGCCAGAGTCACTAAGCTGTAGTACAACACTCGGTCAAGCTGGTGGCGCTAATACTAACTCCAGTGACGACCTCATTGTCCGGGTTGAGTTTCCTTTTCTCTTCCTGTTTACGCTCTGCTACTGCAGCTAACTGCTACTGTAGCTAACTCCTACTGTAGCTAACAGCTCAGTGCGGATCGCGTTATTTAGGGAAAGACATGTCTCACTCTTGTCCACATTGCTCTGATGCAAAGTGCAGCAGTTCAGTGGGTAACATGTGTGTGCGCACACGTGTGTGCTTGTGTATGCGCACGTGTGTGTGCACACACACACACACTTTAGTAACGTGCGTAAGAGCGCTGAGAAATGAATGAATAAGAATGAAAGAATGAAAATTGTGGCGTACGAGCAGAGCGACCAGAGACAGTGTGTGTATGTCTGTGTGTGTGTGTTCTGGCGATTAAATAAAGACTGAGTATTGAATGTCTGAAGTGTTATTGCAAAAGCACCACACTGAGAGCGAGGGTCAGGACATAGGGAGATATTCCCGTAGGAAACGCTTTGGCCCTGCAGCGACACACCCCCTGCGCCCCTCGACCACGGTCCGGGGCTTATATGAAAGGTTTAACACAAGCGGAGAATGCAAAAGTGCAGGAGGGACGTGGGTGAAAATGCCCGTCACAGGAAGATGTAATGTGACGCACAATATCAAGTCCCCACCGCACCTCCTCCCCCACTCCCCACCACCCACGACACTGACCCCCCCTCATCTGGGCTTTGGAAGCGTGCTCAGGCCCACCTCTCCCAGCCGTGCCCAAGCACAGTTACCGCAGTCACATTGCACCTAAAGCCCGGATCTAATCACGAAGTGGGCCCAGCCCCACTTTAATCGGGCTTTAGGCTGTAGATGTGACCGCAGCCTAAGCTACCGTGGACCAGCACTGTAGAGTCTGGAGGCCTAGAGGCAGATTTTGGACCATAGCAACACATGATGCTGTTTAATGATTGGATAACAACTCTGTTCGACGCCAGACCTCCCAAATCTCAACCTGAAGTTAGGAGCTGCGGAACCAATGTAGTTTGTGGGAAAATAAACATAGAAAATATAATAATAATAATGAGAAAAATTCTCTATTATATAGATTATAAAAAATATATATGTAATTATGTTTAGGCCAGCAGTGAAGGCCTTGCAGGCCTTGAGGGTCCACCACTGGGTTTATATTCCGGTGCGGGTTATATTTTGGTGTGGTTTATATACTTACTCATTTAAATTCCATGATGTTGTTCTGTGTATAGAATGCACCTCTTTGACAGTTTCTCCTCGTGAAGCGGAGTGTGGCTCAGACCGTGGTGTTCCGTGAGAAAGACAATATTTGGACAGAGCAGCTTCTCTGTCACTGCTCACATCGATTCTCAAACTGTGGCTCACGAACAACCAACGCTGCAGACACTGAGTGGACTAACAATCTGTGCATTTCTGTTGATGTTCTTGTTATAGATAGATACATAGATAGACAGATACATAGATAGATAGATAGATACATAGATAGATAGATAGGTAGGTAGATACGGTAGATTCTTTACTGATCTCTGTTGGAGAAATGCACGTGTCCAGCAGTACAAACACATCTATCCAGAAACTTCTATCCAAACGCTGATGCTTCCTCGTATAAAGAGGAGAGACAAACACAGACTCGGAAAAGGACCTGAGGCGTTTAGAAAACAACTTGATGCAGATCGGCGCAAATACACAAACACGCCTCTTATACAGGGAAATAAATAGGGAAATAATCATTAACTATTGGTTAGGGCCTGTGAGTGTGAAAAAGTGCCGTCCAAACGCCATTACAACAACAACAAAAACTGTCAACAACAACAGACTGACCACAGACACAACTTCAATTTGATTCTCGACAGCAGCACTCACACACGTAAACATATTACAGACACCAGTGAGACTGCGAGGTAAAGAGGGTTCAAAGGACCTCTCCCATATAAATAATGTCTTTTAAAAACCTCAAAAGAGCAGTTCTCACATCTATGGTCTTAACACATTGTACTCATTACATTTCATACATGTAGGGAAATAATAATTTAGTGGAGTTTAGGGATGGCTAAAGCTAACAGGCTAACAGGGACTTTAACTGGAAGAAATGACTCGTTTCATTTTAATGATCAATCTACAGGCTAAACAGGTAGTTCTGAAGTTTTGTGCGTCTGTGAGCAGTGCATTGCAACACATCTTCTTGTCATCGCGAATATCCACCTATTTAGTGCGAAAAACAGGTGCGATAGCATTGAGGAGATGTACTTCCGAATCAGACCGGTGCCCGTCGTGACGTCACTAAGGGGGGAAGCGTATGATTGTTTTTTATTTCTAAGGACATTGCTATGGTCTTTAATAAAAACAATTGATGTTGAATCCTAGTTCTCTTCTAATATAAAATGGTTCTAAAACTTTATTTCTAAATCGATGTGCTCGGGGGATTCTCGCGGTACTGCAGACTAAACCAGACTAAATTCACATGGGATACTAAGAAATGTTCCCCATAGAACTCAATGTAAACCAAAACCGCTCGACCTCAGCTGACAGAGAACCTGACAGAGAACCTACAGCATTCATAAAGGTAGTTTTTGTGGGAATGTTAGTGTCCCTTGTCAACCTGAACTTCTTTTCTTCTTAAATCCTTCAGTTTTCTTTAACTGCTTTACTTTCACTTTACTGCTACAAATTCTTCTCATTCGGCTCCCGCTCTGACTCCGGTCTAGCTCCGGTCTGATCAGCAGCTCTGATTGGTCAGAGCGAAGACGAGCCCATCTGTGCACGTACATCAGAGCTACACACGCGTATTTGGTGCAAAGCATCATGGGAGCTCGTCCACTGCACATTTTATTTTAAGAAAGGATAAGGATCATGATTGGGTCTTGAAAAATTAACATTGTGTAAGACATTGCCGGAATGATAATCCTTTTTTTAATAATTAATTTATAGAATTTTCAGTGAGGAGTTCCAAAATCGCCATGGTAACTGAACCTGCCGCATTCCAGAACCAAATAAATCAGCCATTGTCACGGCAACATGACATAAAGGTCTTTGTGACATCATCAAAGTTCCAAAGTCCCCAGTGAAAGTGTCTGTGTGTGGAGAGAGCCCCAAACAGGACCCATATTTCTGACTTCAGGAGAAAACGGAGCAAATTTACCGCAAGAAACACAACGGAGCAAAATGTTGTGCTTGAGAAGAAAATCAAAGAAGGACAAGCTGATAGAAGAGCTTGAATCCTACCTCATGATGTTGGAGGGACAACACCAGTGTCTGAAGGAGGATGTGAAGAGAGAGAAGCAACAGTGGAGCAAGTTGGAGAAGACTCATCAGGAAGAGAGTCACCAACAGCAGCAGCAGGTGATCCAGCTCCAGACAGAGAGGTCTGCCTTAGAGACGGCTCTACTGCAGGCTTCAGAAAGATCCACGTCTGCCCAACGCCAACTGGATGATACTGTCCAGGAGAAAACAGATCTCCAAGAGGCTCTGAGTGATACCACAGGGAAACTGCAGAAGGAGATCCAGGCCTTGAAAGAAGCAAATGCTGAAGACGCCATCCGGTATATGTCGATCGTCACCAAACACCAAGACGAGAAACAGGCAATGTTCGACAGAAACAAGGAGGCGATGGACCTGTTGAACGCTCAGATACAGGACGCTAACAGCTACATAGACAGGCTGAAGACGCAGATGCAGGAGCAAAAAACAAAACTGGGGACAGAAGCTTCTCAGTTAAAGGCAACATTGGCCAAGACCAAGAAAGAGTTGGAGGAGTTTAATGCAAATGTCCTCATGAAAAACTCTGTTATTGCTGCGATGG